GTTTACAACCTCCCCATGGTCAGGAAAGCCATGCAGTTTGCCATGATCAGTGAGGAGTGGCTCACCTGATACTGCAACAGCTGTGGTTCTCAGCATTAAAAGGTGTCATCTTTCCTATAATTTCCATCCTTCACAAAATAAACCAGTTAACCACTCTTTCTAACTGAGGCCTCCTTGGCCTAAACCAATGATTAATTTGCTTTCCTTGGGAGGCATTTTCCAGAGTCATCCCACATGGTATCAGTAAATATGCTTAATGCCACCTAGAATTTCATTAAAAATGGTCAGGTCTTTTATACTGCCTACATGTATACCAGGCAAGCAGTATCTCATTTAAAAATGGCAAATTTAACACATACATGGCACCAGAGATAATATTTAACTCTGCAACAGAGAAGAAAATCTGCATCTATTACAAGTTTCTGGTTGTCTGAAAAACTCTGCTCCTCACAGGGACTGCAATCCACATATCCACCTAGGCACAATGCAAAGATTAAAATTTTCAGAGCAGCTGAGGACTAGGCACATACTTTGTCACCCTGAACCATGGTGCAGGTAACCTAAATTGCATTTATATTCTTATTTTTTTGCTTGAGTAATACTACAGACAGGAAAATTCTGGTATGCTTGCTTAGAGTTGTTCCCTCTGGGGTGCTCATGGGAGGACTAGTGCATTTGCATTGTGTTCCTCAGCTGCCAGGTGTAGCAGCGGAGATAAGCTCCAGTGAAACAGGAATGTCAGTGAGGTTGTTCTGTCTCCTGCCAGCTACCCACAAGCCAAGACTAAAATTCCAGTTATACAACTGCAATCCTCTTGCATAGTGCAGGCTGTACTCTAGCTCCTACATGACAATGGACAGTCTTCCCTTCCAAATCTTTATACAGCCAGTGCTCTCTAGATGCAGCAACTATTGTCCTTCAATCAATACACTGATTGAGCAATAAACAAAGAACTTATTCAGCTATAAACCATGGAAAAGGATCTGCAGGGACTTGCTGCCTCTGAGGAAGTGAACATGGTGCCTCCCTGTGTTCCTTGCTTGCAGGGTACGGGGCCCCAGGGAGAACTGTGGGCTTGCACGCATGCAGGACAATTGACATCTGGCTGATTTTTCATTTCAGCCGTGAAACTACCCCATTGTAAAGCTATTTCATCAAGCAGGAGAAAGCAATCTTCATTGCTCAACAAAAGAAGACCAATTTGTTTCCTTAGACACAATTTACTCTTTCACATTTCTGGGCTTTGTTGTATCCTTACCTGACAACTTGAGAATGCTTTTGAAGTGAGAGCTAGCCAAGTTTGGATATGAGCCTTGAAAACCTGGTAAATTACAAAGAGAATCTAACATTGTGTGATATTCACCTCTTCTCCTCATAAGGCTCACAGTATCCCTTCTTCTGTAATTTGCTGTGCTGGATTGCTGATCTCACTTCAAAGCTGTATTAATGTAGATTCTTTCCAATGGCACTGATGGACACTCTCCACATTTAAGTTAGTGCACCCTAGATTTAATATCTCACCTCTCCATCCATATGTAAGGTATAAATTCCTTCCAGTCACTTTTGAATTTTGACCTGTTGAGTAGATTGTCATTCAAGGCAATTTCTCTAAGCATAATTCCAACATTAAAGGGGCAAAAGTTGGATCATAACTAGAAAGTCAACAAAAATAAATATTGGCAAGAAAGCTCAAGTAAGAGAATACCTTTCTGACATGCAAGTCATCCACTAGTCATGAAGAGAACAGAAAGATGTCTTTCTTACTTCAGTCCCGCATTGCTACTGAACAAAGCCCAGTGACTCATTTCATAGTGTCCTCAGATTGGAATCTTCCTACTTTTCTCAGAGACGATTCACTGAGGATTGCTTAGAAACTGCCCTACTTTACAATTGAGAATGCCCATGATATGAGAACAACTAATAATGGATGCAGGACAATTGGGTGAAGTCATTTCCTAAGCCACTACCAATATACTGGTCGAGTACATGGAACTGAATAACAAAAAGGGTTGAGGTCTGTCAGGGGAATTAGAGGATTGTATGAAGAATCACCCAGCCTCCCTCCCACTCCAGAAACATTAAATATTAAGCATTTAAAAATCATGCAGTCCTCTTTATCCATTAATTAGTCTTTTCCTCTCTTCCTGTCTTCTTTGTCTTGTCTTCTGATAAAAATAAAAAATCTCTTTGACTGTTTCTTGTGTTTGTCCATAGAAGATATCTACAGATAACACGATATAGCCTGTATCTACAGCCTGTAGTAAAATTCAAGGCAGATGAACATGACTGCACAAAAGTAGCACGGTCGGCATGCCTCGCAGTAGTAGCAGCCAAGCATGCTATGGCAACCAGCCAACCAATGACACTGGCAAAGAGCCAATTTGATTTATTTTTGGCAGCCTGAGACTGCATTCTACTACTGTGCCAGTCTTCGATCACAGAAACGATAAGAGATGACCTTTGAAAGCCAAGGGGACAACTTCTGGGAGAAGGGAACTGATGAAGCTGAAACAGGGTCTGTCCCCAGGCTAGCAGAGTACCAGAGTGGCAGATGTTTGGTAGCCCTCCCTCTTCCAAGAACAATCAACTAGTTCAGTCATGCCAGCAACCATCAGTGAATGATATGTTTACTGGGTGAAAACTGGGAGAAAGGTTGAGACACATGTCTGTAAGACCATGAAAGGTGTAAGTGCCAAGAGAGAGAAACAGTTTTAAAGAGATGAGAGAGAATAATAGAATTAAGATAAGCAAAAGAGAATTTAGGCATCCTAACATGAAATATTGTCTGTCTGTGGGATCTTTGATACTGTGACGATGCTCTTCTGTGGAAGATGCTATGAAGAGAGAGCTGCTTCTTACTGTTCTCGACATTGTGCTATAGAGCATGTTGCAGAACACAACCTAGCATCCTCAAAGAGACAGACAAGAAGGCCTATTTAATCTGTGGCTTTTTCTTCTTCATTTCCTTCTTGCATTGCTCTGGGGCCCAGCTGTTTGACTTTGTGGCTAGGAGGCTGATACCATCCTTTAATAAGAATTTAGCAAAAAAAAATAAAAAAAAATCTATATTCATTAACTTTTTAAAGAGAATATCAGTTTAACTGTGGCCACACACCTTCCATGTTTGCTTTCTGCAAACATTTGTAAGCTTGAGTATTACTGCATGCATATTAAGTGGGTCTGAATAGATGCACATACTGGCCTTGAACAATCAAATAATCACTGAAAGCTCATTTTTAAACACTTATTTGATTGTAGATTTTGTAACTTACTCTGTTGGCTAGTTATTTACATAAGCAGCAGTATCATGTGCAAATGTGTATTAGATTGTAATATTCTCATTTCAAATGATGTTAAGGGCAACAAGACCATGGGGAAGATATCTGCAACTGACTCAGAATACTGAGTACAAAAAAAGAAAACATTATTTGATTACTGACCACTGAAAACAGGTAAAATTAAGCAAGTGAAATATCTTAATGCTATGAATTGCCTATCTCTATTCATTACAGAATATTACACTGAATAAAAATACGATGTTAATTCAAAGCAGAATAGCTATTCTTATTTAGGAATAAGACACTCCAAATCTTAATCGAAAGTTAATGTGCACTCATTATTCTGTGTACACAAGACTCCAAAACACTGAATTACACTGTTTTTACCAGTGACATTTATACCTTTGCTTGTGTACAAATACAATGCAAGTACAGCATGCAACATACCAAATTAGATTTCTCAAATCATATACCTTTTATTTTGCAACTCCACTCATCATATAAAGTGAAAGACAGAAGAGATGGAGACCACCAAGAGCCAACATGGTTGAATGCAAATTCAAGATTTATCTCTAGAAATGCTTAAGTGAAAGGAAGTAAAATAAGCATCCCTTTGCTGTTATGTACTTTCAGCTTAGAGTCACACTCCTCAAAGCAGTTCCCCTTGTCTGCACATTAAAACAGAATTATTTTGCACGAGCTCTTCTCTGAGTACTTATCTGTCCTTTTGGATAAGTACTTCCTTATCTTTCCACTTTGCTGAGTGGGTGCAGTCACCTGAAGCTCTGAGTTAGCTATGAAGCTTGGAAGCCTAACTGTGGAATTTGATTTATCATTTTGGAAGAGAAGTCATTCAAACAAATGGAATGAGGAAAAAACATCAGTGAGTGCAAGTCTGGATGAAGATGCTCTCTAACATTTATATAAGGCCACTTATGAAAATCAAGGTGGTACACTACATTTTTTTTCCTCAACAAGCTATTGATCCCAATTGAGTGCCTCATGAATGTGGAGGTCAGTTACACTTTGCACTGCCTCTTGATCAAGTTTCATGTGGTGCCTGCCTCTGATGTACTGTTTCTTTTATTTATGTTGTTTTTCTTTGATAATTTACAGAAAGTAAAGACCAAGAGCAAAAACGTCCTCAGGTCTTTGATGTGTTTTCTACCTATCTCAGTATCATAATTCAGTAACTGCTCTTTATGGTTTGCAAGCAATATGCTACTGTCAAAAATGTTCACTTTTGCCTCTCCAAACTTTTGACTTCTTCCCAGGGAACTAGTTAAACAGACCTGCAGCTTGGTTAGGAGAAAGAATTGGAAAACACTTCCTAGACTGACTGCATTCAGCTCTCTCTCTCCAGTCCTCATTCATTGAGCTGTCAGGGCCTTTAATCTTCCCTTTCCTACCTGATCCTATTATCAGCTGACTGACCCTCTCTCGCCACCATGTAGAAAAGGGCTAGATGGCACATCCACCTACCTAGAGGAACAAGAGCCTCAAGAGGAGATGCAGTTTTTCCAAAGATATTGGGAAGCAGAAGAGAGGGTGTTAAGGAAGAGCATGCACATCCACCACCCACAAAACCTTTCGAAGGCATTCTGTCTTTAAGTCTCACTCTGATTCCTGTGATGGAATCAGAGGTCTCGGAGCCATCTGTATGAGAACAAGGCAGGCACCCATTTCTGGAGAGGCCCACTCCCTACCGAGGCGCTCACTCACCTGTCTTCTCTTCGGTTTGGCTGCTCTCCACTGTCTCCATTTGGGGTTGCGCTGTTGCCTTGGCAGTAGCATCCTCTGCAGCAGGGGTGGTGGTGGCAGTGGTGTCAGCAGCAGGCACGTCGGCTTGTTTAGGCTCCTCTTTGTCTTGGGCTTCGTCAGCCTTCAAGGATGGCGAGTTATCAGTGGAAGCTTTAGTGGCACTTTCCGTCTCGGCAGCAGCAGCGGATTTTTCCTCTGAGGAGGCGACAGGAGTGGCAGCCTGCGGGGCTGGCTGCTCTGAGCCCGTGTCAGCGGCTCCGTTCCCTTTTTTCTCCTCTGCTGGCGCGCTGCTGTCTTTGCTGCCCTCATCCAGCTGGGCACTGTCGGCGGCGCTGGCCTCTGTGGCAGCAGAAGCCTCACTCTCTTTATTCTCAGCCGCTCCGCCAGCAGGGCCTTCATCCTTCTTGTCGGCGGCCTCAGACTCGGATGCGGGGGCATCTGCCTTCTTCTCCCCCTTGAGCTTTTTCCTTGTTATGTGTCCACGGAAGCTGGCCTGGATTTTGGTCGCTGCCTTATGAGCTTTATCTTCTGGTTTGATGCCATCTTGCTCAATCTTTTGGTCCCCGTCCTCATTTTTTTCAACCTTAGAAGAAGAACAAGGAAGGAGGGCAGAGGAGAAAACAGGGTAGTATGGTTAGGTTGTGGGTGGACTTGATCTTTAAGGTACTTTCCAATCTGAGTGATTCTATGATTAGGTAAGTTAAGATTACTCCAGACACAGCCCAGACTCGTCTTTAATTGGGAAATTCCCACCCTCCTCTCCTGCTAACAGGTGACAAGTTTGGAAGCAGCCATTGCATTTGTTATGGGTTTGAGGACAGTGGCTCTTTTTTCATGGCTGGGCAGACACAGGGGATTGGCAAAAGGAATTTGCCATCATCTCTGCTAGCGATGCTAGAGCAACTTGCCTGCATGGAAAGGCTTGCACTAGCTGGACTGTCACTGCTGGCATGATTTACTTTCCCATCCATTTTGAAATTTTCCATTTTTTTCCCCCAGTCACTTTTAAAACACTCTCCCACAGGGGTGTTCCACAGTCTTTCCAGATCCTCTTACGCCTTCAAATCTTTGTTCCTTTTTAATGAAACTTTGTTTCACAGGTGCGTGACTCTAGCTACATCGAGTGTTTCATGCTTTATAGCTTTTTGACTCAGATTTGCCTGCAGAGACCATTACTGCCACCCACCCTGCCACAGATGCAAGCTATTACAGACACACACATATCCTCCTCACAAATGGCCTGCCTGCAAGCATTCTGAGTCCTTTTTCTCTGCTCCCCACTCTTGGTTTCATTGTAAAAATAATGGACAGATAGATATCAGCGTTTCCAATTTCAGCAGATTATGACTATTTCTCTGACTGTTGGGTAGAACACAGCTTTACAACAAAGAACAAGCATTCCTCCTGTTTTTTAGACTTAAGCCATGCATTAAAGACTTAAATAGGACCAAAACAGAGCCCATACTTCATGCTGGTCTGCTGCAGACAGATAATGCTCAGTTTGTAAAATCCTACTGAATTTACAGGTCATACCATTCTTCACCCCAATAACTTTAGCTGTTCTTGGGCAAGTAGCAGCTCAGCTGCATACTGATGAAAGGACACTGTTCTATTAATATTCCCATTGGGAAGCATTCAAAAGAGCTACTCAGAAGCAGAGGCACTGGCCTCTTTGCTGTCTGTGCCTGGTTTCCAATGCTGGCTCGGGTCACAAAAGAAAGAAAATGAGCTGGCTGAGAAAGATAGCAAGTGTTTATTTCTCCAAGGGAAGAAGAAACTATTCCTCAGGCCACTGCAACTGAGAGATGCCATCTGGGGAAAGGACCAGAACCAGAAGTTCAGAAATACGTCCAAAAAGACTGCAGCTGGAACAAGGGAGGAGACACTGCTGTATCAACACATAGTGCTAGAAAACAGTGCATGTGAAGAGGGTGACAGTGGACTGGCTACAGTCATCAGTCACTGAGAAACAGACTGTAAGGGATCGTTCCCATGCATAATGAAAACACTGATGTGAGACAGATGGGAATGCACATGTGAACAAAGCAGTGCCAGCAAACCCAATATTTGGCCACCAGTAAGCAAGAAGTACCCACCACATCCTTCTGGGGCCACCAATGAGGACAAGGTCCCCTCTCCTGATGTCCAAGCAGGATAGTTCTCCAGATAAACAGGGGTGAATTTCAGTAGAGATGGTGGCCAAGGAGCTAGCAGCCCCAAATAATCATGGAAAAGAGCTGCTCCGCACAGCTGTGTAGGATTAAGGATTGGTCTGAATGCACCAGCACAGCTGATGTTGCAATGTGACCCAGATGAGCAGAGCAGAGTTCTGCACAAATTCACCTACCCTGCTCTTCAGGCAAGCTGTGCAGTTTCCACTAAGTCCTGTGTTGCTGCAGCAACATTACTACTGCCCAGGGAGGTTGTGGAGTCTCCTTCTCTGGAGATGCTCAAGACCTGCCTGGACACCTATTTGTGTGACCTGGTGTAGGGAACTTCCTTTGGCAGGGGGGTTGGACTCGATGGTCTCTGAAGGTCCCTTCCAACCTCTATGATTCTGTGTAGACAAGTTGGTTTAAGGAGAGCTTGAATATGTACGCATTATACTGAAGCCAGAGCAGCACAGACACAGATACACAGACATAGATATTCCTTTCTAGCACCAAGTAACACATGCCCTAGCTTTGACACTTACAAAGGTCTGTGATCAGTTTCAAACAGCAGCATGATTGGGAAACTGGAAAAATAACTACAAGATCCTAAAGATCCAGTACTATATGTTGGATTCCTGTCAAGCCAATAGTGAATGTGGCAAAATTTCAGTCCTTGGACAAAAGGTGAAAATTATTGCTTGAAAGATCTCTTGCCACTAGGACAGCTGTGATGAAATGTAGCCTTGCTGCATATCTTGGTGACAGCTTCCTCCACAGCAGATACCCTGGCACGGGCTATGCAGTTCTGCGAGAGCTTCTCTCCCTCCTGCTGCAGGATGGATTCTCCTGACACAAGAGTTCTGATCAAGGTGCATGCAGGGCTCACTGGCCAACCACCCTTAACCTGACCAGGAGTGGGAGAGTGCTTTTCCTCTTCTGGGATGTCAGACTGGAACCTCACAACCACAACTACTATATTTCAGAGCTAGAAGGCTCACTGCTATTCCAATGACATCGTTGTCCCCTTATCCCAATTGGGATGACATCAGCTTGAGTCCCTGCCAGACTGCAAGGTTCACAATTGCAGAATGTTTTTCCAGCAGTGCACTTACAGCATCAATTCAGATATAAAAGATAAGGAACATGAGGCTGGGTCAGACATGGTTTTAAGGTCATGAATAAAAACAGTGTTCTAATAGTTGGACTGTGTCAACTCCAACGGCTCTTAGTAGCCCTCAAGAATCCCACTTCAGTTTTTCTCCACTGCAGCATCCTAGGCATTTGAAATGACTTATTTTGAGCTACTGGCCTGAAGCTACTTCTGGGACAGGACACGATATCCATCTAGTATGTAAGTCATGTTGTGTAACAATGGGTTGGATAAGAAGCAGATTGTTTGGAGGTAAACTTCTGTTCTCACAAAAAAAATGAGGGCTCTTCATCTGTAGATTACGCACACAACAGATAAGGTTTAATTAAGGAAGTTGCTCAGAAATAACCTGTACACAATGAAATTCCTGGAAAGCAATTTGTCTTTCTTCGAAAGCTAAAAGGGTGAGTCAGCCTTGCCAGGATGTATTCAAAAGCACTGCAGTGGAAAACGAGAAATCTATCTGTCTTATCTATCCGCCATGCATGTATGACATCTTGGTCATAATATTGCAGTATTCTGGTATAAAAGTGACAATTATTATTAGTGTTTGTACAGACTCAAGAGCCCCTAGCCAAGAAAGCAGGTCTGGTAAGGAAAGTTTTCATGTATTATTATTCAGTCATGCACCCCCTTCATCTATAAACTTATGTATAAACTCATACTAATACTTAATATTGAAATATTCAAGATATTCTTAATGTGCATGGAACTTGAAAATACTAAGGCTGGTTCATATATAGGTACATACAGAGCCAAACACGTCCTTCTTCATTTAGACCATCCCCACATACCCTCTGAAGCCAATGTACAAAGCTTTCCCTTTATGAAACATACTGGTAGGATTTATGTCTCTATCTGCATAGCCCACATCATCTTTCCAATCCTGGAAAAATGATCCTCTCACCATCTCAATCTGCTTGTCTGCCACACCTCCAGCTTTCTAGGACATTCCTTCCCAGGCAGACAGTTCCTGTAAGTGAGACTTTCCTTGCTGTCACATAGCTCAGAGTAGTAGATGAGAAATGAATGCTTAGGACATAGACAGGGTAGAGGTTAGTTTGTAAGTAATAAAAATGTGAAAATTTCATTGACCCAAGACCCCAAGATTTCTAATCTCTGGCTACTTTTCTACCTTCCATCTCCAGAGCTTACAGAGGTATCAAATACAACAAATAATGAAGAAAGCTCTGTTTTAACCTCCAAGACCAGCTAAATGGAAAATACGTTACTCTCATTTTAAAAAACAAACAAACAAAAAGAAAACAACCTTGTATTTAGTGAAAAGATATATGGACCTTAAGTAATTCAATTTTCATGACACCTGCACTAAGGTACATGTGGAAATCTTTCCTTCAATTGACTGGGTGAAACAGTGCTGAATCAGCTAATCATTGGTGGTATTTGTGGGGTGAATTATAGAATGGCTTGGGTGAAAGGGACCTCAAAGCCCATCCAGTTCCAAGCCCCTAACGTGGGCAGGACTTTCACCCACCTGCTCAGGCTGCCCGGGGCCCCATCCAACCTGCCCTTAAACATTTGCAGGGATCAGACATCCACAACCTCTCTGGGCAGCCTTTTTCCACACTTCACCATCCTCTAAGTGAAAAAATGTAGTTTAAAACCATTCATCCTTGTCTTAACACTATTTGCCTGTGTAAAAAGCTGGTCTACCTCTAGTTTGTAAGTTCTCTTTAAATACTGGAAGGCTGCAATGAGATCTCCCTAGAGTCTTCTCTTCCCCAGGCTGAACCTGTCCAGCTCCCTCAGCCTTTCTTCATCAGCCCTCTGAGGAAGATACACATCAGCCCATAATGCTCTAATCTTGACTACTGTACAAGATATATTTGACTGACATCATTCAATTGATTTGCAATGAGATTTAGGCACCTGATTCTCACTGATTTCACAGGATTGAGTCACCTCAAAGCTTTTGTGGGCCTGGCTCTGCATGACCTGATTTGTCTCAGATATAGTATTTAAGGAGCAGAGTGCATTTAAAAAAAAAAAAAAAAAAAAAAAAAAAAAAAAAATCACAAAAAACCATCTGTCTCCCCAGAAGGAGTGAAACATGGACACGTGAGAGAGAGAGAGAGAAAAGACTTTCACATCTTGTGAAGTGAGGAAGCAATTTAGCACAGAGAACAGCTTTCTTTTTTAACCCAGTTAAATGGTGTGAAGACACCTGGATATGGGATGGCACCTCTTAGCACAACCTGTCTGCAAGTCGAGGAAACAAACAGAGTTCCTTTTATTCCCAGGCTGTCAATGGTGATGGTG